CCCACCCCACAGAGGGAATTTGGTCCTGGTGTGGCCTCTCCTTTCCTGGGAGGCTCCAGAGGGTGGGACAGGGGGGACAGAGGAGACAGAGGGGACAATGGGGGGACAGGGGGGACAAGGGGGACAATGGGGACAGTGGTAGGAACACCCTGGGGCTTTCACCCCCCACCCCACAGCGGGAATTTGGTCCTGGTGTGGCCTCTCCGTCCCTTTCCTGGGAGGCTCCGGAGGGTGGGACAGGGGGGACAGGAGGGACAGTGGGGACAGAAGGGACAGTGGGGACAGAAGGGACAGTGGGGACAGCGGCAGGAACACCCCAAGGCTTTCACCCCCACGGGGCCACCACGGAGAGAACCCGGCCGGGAGGTGACACGGGGTGGGGACACGGGGTGGGGACACGCGGTGGGGACACGCGGTGGGGACACGTGGCGGCTCCGAGGGCGGCCCGGGGAGGGGACAGCGGCCCGGGGAGGGGACACGGGCTCAGATGGCCTCCACGTAGTTGGCGGGGAGCATGCCGGTGTCGCCGGTGCGCTCCACCGTGCCGTACATCCAGCCGTCGTCGATCTGCTGCGTGTTGACGATGGTGTCGCCGTCCTGGAAGGAGACCTCGTCCTCGTCCGCCGCCGTGTAGTCGTAGACGGCTCGGAAACGCTTCTGAGGGGACACGGGGACACGGATGGGGGACAGGGGGACATGGGGGACGTGGGGACACAGACAGGGGACACAGGGATAGAGGACATGGGGACAGGGACGGGGGACACGGGGATGTGGGGACATGGACAGGGGACAGGGACAGGGGGATGTGGGGACACGGATGGGACACGGGGACAGGGACGGGGGACATGGGGACACGGGGATGTGGGGACACGGACGGGACACAGGGACAAGGGGACATGGACAGGGGACATGGGGATGTGGGGACAGGGATGGGACATGGGGACAAGGGGACGTGGGGACAAGGGGACACAGGGACAGGGGACACAGGGACAGGGGACACAGGGATGTGGGGACAGTGGCAGGGGTCAGGGAACATCCCCAGGGGACACGGGGACATGGGGACACGGGGACAGTGGCAGGGGACATTGGCACAGCCCCAGGGGACAGGGAATGGGGACGTGAGGACAGGGGACACGGGGACAGGGGACACAGCCCCAGAGGACATGGGGACGTGGGGACAGGGGGACAGCCCCAGGGGACACGGGGACATGGGGACAGGGGGACAGCCCCAGGGGTCAGGGGGACGTGGGGACAGTGGCAGGGGACATTGGCACAGCCCCAGGGGACACAGGGACACGGGGACAGCCCCAGGGGACACGGGGACATGGGGACAGCCCCGGGGCACAGGGAACCGAGCACCCAACCCCCCCAGAATGGCTTCTCCTGGGGCTGAGGGAGCAGAGGGACCCCAGGGTGGGAACTGGGGGGCTGAGGGACCCTTGGGTGGGAGTTGGGGGGCAGAGGAACCCCAAGGTGGGAACTGGGGGGCTGAGGGACCCTTGGGTGGGAACTGGGGGGCAGAGGAACCCCGAGGTGGGAGTTGGGGGGCTGAGGGACCCCCAGGATAGGTTGGGGGACTGGGGGAACCCCGAGGTGGGAATTGGGGGGCTGAGGGACCCCCAGGATAGGTTGGGGGACTGGGGGAACCCCGAGGTGGGAGTTGGGGGGCTGGGGACCCCCAGGATAAGGGGGGGATGCTGCACTCACCCCACCCCCGGCCGGGGCGCCGCGCGGGGCCGAGCCCGGAGCCGCCGGATCCTTGTAGCCAAAGGACTGGGACGGAGACGGCTGCTGGAAAACTGGGAGAGACTGGGAATGAACTGGGAGGGACTGGGGATGAACTGGGAGGGACTGGGAGAGACTGGGAATGAACTGGGAATGAACTGTGAGGGACTGGGGATGAACTGGGAGGGACTGGGGATGAACTGGGAGGGACTGGGGATGAACTGGGAGGGACTGGGAGAGACTGGGAATGAACTGGGAGGGACTGGGGATGAACTGGGAGGGACTGGAGGGAACTGGGAATGAACTGGGACTGGGAATGAACTGGGAGGGACTGGAGGGAACTGGGAATGAACTGGGACTGGAAATGAACTGGGAGGGACTGGAGGGAACTGGGAATGAACTGGGACGTGGGCAGGTCCTGAACTGGGACAGGCAGGGAATGCTGGCTCCTGAACTGGGATGGGAGCAGATCCTAAACTGGGGTGTGGAGGGAAGGATGGATCCTGAACTGGGATTTGGGTGGATCCTGCACTGGGATTCAGGTGGATCCATGGAATTTGAATGGATCCTGCACTGGGATTTGGATCCATGAACTGGGATTTGGGCAGATCCTGCACTGGGATATCAGTGAATTGTGCACTGGGATTTGGGCGGATCCTGCACTGGGATTTAATTGGATCCTGCACTGGGATTTCAGCAGATCCATGATCTGGGATTTGGATGGATCCCGCACTGGGATTTCAGTGAATCCTGCACTGGGATTTGGGTGGATCCTGCACTGGGATATCAGTGAATCCTGCACTGGGATTTGGGTGGATCCTGCACTGGGATATCAGTGACTCCTGCACTGGGATTTGGGTGGATCCCACACCGGGATTTCACCGGATCCCGCACTGGGATTTGGGATCTCGGGGCACGCCGGGCAGCCCCGGGGCTGTCCCCTCACCGCTGCCTCCGGGCTGGCCGTGCTGCTGGGGCTGGGGCTGCTCTGCTCTCCGGTAGCCGCCGCTCTCGCCGGCGTTCCGGCGCTCCGGCTCCGAGCCCTCGCTGGGGCCGGGGCCCATCCGGCTGCGCTCGAACTCCTCGTGGTACTTGATCTGCAGGGAGGGAATTGGCAATTCGGGGGGATTCCTCCAAAAGGGAGAGGCAGGGCTGCCCCACGTGGGCTGCTGCTGCTGCAGCCTGAAGGATTTGGGGATGTTTCATCCCCCCCATCCCAGCTCGGCTCTTTTTGGCACCCCTGGGAATCCCAGGGGGGTTTTTTCCCACCCCTGAGCACGGGGACAGGAGCAGACGGGAGAGGACAGGAAGAGCTTTCCGTGCCCCGGGGCCGGGCTGAGGAATTGTTTGGGATGAGGATCCCTGAGGATCCCTGCACATCCCTGAGCCTCCCAGAGCATCCCTGCACATCCCTGTGCCTCCCTGTCCATCCCTGAGCCTCCCTGCACATCCCTGTGCCTCCCTGTCCATTCCTGAATATCCCTGCCCATCCCAGAGCCTCCCCAAGCCTTCCTGAGGATCCCTGTCCACCCCTGAGGATCCGTGCCCATCCCAGAGCACCCCTGTCCAGCCCTGCACATCCCTGAGCCTCCAGGCCCGTCCCTGCCCATCCCTGAGTGTCCCAGAGCATCCCTGCAAATCCCTGCCCGTTCCTTTGCCTCCCAGAGCTTCCCTGTCCATCCCTGCACATCCCAGAGCCTTCC